TATTCTCCTTTGAAGGAAGCGTCTATGTATTTCAAAATCATCAAACAGAAGACAAATCTCAAAGGAAGAAACAAAGTGCAGGCAAAAAATAAAGACAATTAAGCAATTCTGAAGGAGCTACAGAACTAAATGTAGCTATTTTCAATCAGAACATTGCTTTTTTGGGTTAATGTTTATTCTACGAAAATATTTCAGAGTGGTATGGAATGAGTTACTGGAGCTCACAAGCTATCTACTCACCTGCTTGCAACCACAACCAGCAAGGGGACATTTTTATGGAGCAAACAACGATTGGTTTAAAAAAAAAAAAAAATAAATATACAGGTATACGTCTGTCTGCAAGAGCGTTAAACGGCACATGGCTTGCTGTAAGAGGGAGGACTACATTTCGTAATCCTGTTGTTATGAGCTGTCGCAGAAACAGGCTTTATAGTTATTAACCTGGTAACCTACTAGGTATTTGCAGGTGACTAGAAAATAGTCCCAAAGTAATTTGAGAACATAAGGGCAACAAGCATAAACCTGCAGTATATTCTTTAAGAATAAAAAGCCATTTAAAAGCATTTTGAATTGAATTAGGTTTTCCCCTCCCCCTAGAGGGCTGCAGCCCCATAACTGGTTATTAAACCTTACCTCAATCTCCCAAAAAACAACACGCACAAAAGAATCACAAACCTAAAGTCACCAAGTTAAGATTTAACTTCACTTCTTTCCACAACAATTGCCATTTCTAAAAAGTAAAACATCCATAACAAGTGCGAAGTAGTGTAAGTAGCGTAAGTATACAAGGAGTACCATTTTACGCTTTTGAGTACAAAGCTAGGAGGAAATAACAACAAAGCAAAGAAAGCAAACAATTCATCCTGAACAGCAGCATTATCCTTGAGCTTTTCTGACAGGGAGGGAGTGGGAAAAACGCTGTGTAGCACCTATATGCAACAGTAACTTTAGAATGCTAGCTAGAGCCAAGGTTTCAGGGAGCATTCTACACATTAAGGGTTACAACTGAAAATCACAGGCTCAAAAGGGGGAAAAAATAGTACTTGGGCACTGCCATCAAAGAGATTTACTTAAGGTAAGCTATGACTTTGATGGGGGGCTTACAGCAGGAAGACAGATCACCCAGAACACTGGGCATGGGGGAAGAACATGGGAAAATCACATATGATACATTTTGGAGGAAATGCAGGGGACCACTGTGGCATGCGCTAGGGTACAGAATACAGTGCAACTATCTAGAATTATGTTCACAGTAAACTGAAGGTCACCAGTCATGTTTTAAATGGGTAGATTTGTATTTAACTTCTGTCAGAGATTACCTGAAAGCTATTAGTGGTTTAGAGCCCCTGAAAACTTCTAATACGCAAACAGTAAAAAATATGAGATGTTGGCTATTCAAAGACCTCACCATACTTTCTTCTTTGTACTTCACGCTCCTCATGAGCTGAAAAATTCATATTACTACCGATTTAATGCAAACTACTTCAACTATAGTTCTGTTTCTGATCGGCTGCAAAAAGCATTTTGAAGAAAATCCACACCTGTTAGATTAATATCATCCTTTATTATGGAAATAACCAAAAAAGAGATCATTTTACTGGTATTTCAAGCAGATTCTCCTTCTACTAGAAGGAGGATCTCACTTTCTAAAGTGAAACAGGACGTGAGGCACACACTCAGTAACATGAGGAAAAGTACTTAAAAAGCTTCATTTCCTGCATCAGCGTAAAGTTTCTGAGACTGGAAATTTTCTATAATACTGAAGTACTTTTAGGATGCTCGAATATGGCACTGTACTTTTTGCTACATTTTTCTTGAGGAATTAGGTAATTCAATCCTCACTGTTACAGTATTAGTAACTTGTGGTATGCATAATGTGTTGTAATTATTTGTGGTTTTCCAGTACTAGATATTAGGGTCTGTTAGACTGACATTTATTCAGGCTTAGCGTATCTCTTACGGCCCTGGTGAAAGACCTGGTGCTGGATCAGAGATTCTGGGGCTCTCCTCTGTCCAGTAGCATTCAGAGGCTGCATGAAGCAGGAGAAGTTTGTCTGTTTGGAGAGCAATACAGTGTTCCAAAGCAAGTGTAAGTGGGAGAAGATTTAGAAAGGGGCAAGAATGCGCATGCTGGCTTTGACTGCTGCGAGGTTAGTACAGAGAGAAAAATTACATGGTTGGACCTGGCCCACATAACTGCCAAATTGTTTAACCAGCAGGTCTCTAACAGTTTTGAAGTAAGAAAAGAAGAAATCCAGCAACTGCTCTCATGCACCACTTAAATTAATGGAAGAGGGGGGAAACAGAACGCAGATACAATTTTTCAGACTCAGTGTCCACTGGATTACAAGGACTGTTTCTTCCTAAAACACTAGTAATTTGAATTGAGGGAAAACAGTGAGAAGCTGCAGAGGAGCCAGCTTTGGCTACATTCCGCTACTCACAAATACATTCTCTTAACTGGTTTCCTCCCTTCAACACAGAAGTTAGGACACTTCCACACTCAACTGTGATGTAATGCTCCAGGGTATTAAATATTACTTAACAGCCTAGCAAGCACTTGAAGGCACAACAACTCAAACAGATTCACACTCGTAATAAAAGATATCAAAGTATCCAAGTTGCTTTAGTACCGAAAATGACAAAGCTCATGACTAAAAGTTTGAGCGTTAATGCTTCAGATTCTGTTAATGACATACTTCACACTAATCAAGATTTGTCAAGTGTTATTTTTCACTTCTCTTAACAATTTAGACTAAACTACACTGTAAAAAATCAGATCTACACCGGACCTACTGATACCCCTCCCCCAAACGGCAAAAAGAACACCCACAAAACCCTAGTTCTACCTTTGCACGCAGCATTTTCCAGATTCCTGTTCATAGGAAACAACTAAACATGTTATTGCAATTTTTTTTCTCTGGTAAAGAGAAGTAGATTTCAAGTAAAGTGATATGGTCATTCAAGTTTCTAGGTGAATAAAAATGTATGTAAAGAGGACATTCCAGCCAAGAAATAAGAATATGTTTTTAAATATAAATATATTATTTCAATGTAATTATCAAAGTCAAATTTGGAGCATGCCATTTGAAAGCTTTTTTAAATCCTGTCCCTTGAACACAAAAGAAATAACAAAAGTTCTGAGGTTTTTTTTTTTTTTTTTTCCCCAAATCCAAGTCTAGAAAAGCAGTATTATTATTATTAATCACTGCCTAAGGTGCTGTATCATCTGAATGGCAGTCTATTAAGAAATATTGGAGTGGTAACATTAAAAATGAGTAAGACATTACCTGTTTAAAAGTTACAGCATGTAAAAAAATCCCAGTAATTTGAATAATTTATATATTTCTTATTAAACACAGCAAAGAGAAATACAAGCCCCTTTTGTATTTTCATCCCCAAGACACGATTCTCCACCCCTTGCACACACTTGTTCTAGCAGACTTGAAAACTGTTTTCTGTTGTTTTCATTTTTGTTTTTAGCACGCACAGTAATAGCAAGCTAGTTTTGTCTCAGTCTGGTTCCCATCATGAGAAAAAAAAAAAAATTAACTGCAGACTTCCTTAAGTTCTTCTAAAAAGGGTTTCTAAAAGTTAATGGCTTAATTAAAATTACTTCTTAAGCCCAAACTTAGTTTTACAAAGAACTTCACATCACACTGAACTGAAAGCATCCCCGCTCCTCAAACTTTCCATTGATTAAAAAACAAAACAAAAAACAAACAAATGACAGTAGAACTTTAGGTTTACACTCCTATTTCCGTGGCCTAAATAGCCGAGCCACCACTTAAAAACATAAGAATGAGTAAATGAGTTCTTTCCTCTACATTGGTATTCCCGCTTTCATAGTGGAAGTTTACGAGCTATCCTTACACAAAATAAGAAAACATATGAAACTGGGTGTGTTAAAATAACTATGGAAGTCAGCCTAAACTGGAAGCCAAGACTCAGGGCTATCCATGCTGACTTTTACACACCCTCGGAGAACCAGTCTTCTAGAAGTGATCACCACCCATTTCATTTAGTTATATTTACACAGCAAGTCAAGTCACTGATCTTAATTTTAGTTTGACATCAGGGCTCCAACCACACACTCAGCTACTTAACACCTTCCATGCATCATATGTCATTCTGTGACTTCCAGGTATGACTTGATCCCTTGTTACATGTGGGACAACACATTAGCAGGGTTTGCAGTTTACATTTTTGCAGCGTGAGATTCTACTGCTGACAGTAACATCTATCACAGTAGTGGCGAAAGAACTAGACACCCAGTAATGATGTGCTCACTGAAGCACTACTGACATACGCAACTGAAAAAAGTGACAAGCTGGAATAAGCATTTGGAAGACATTTGGATTTTATAAGCCCATCTCCTAATGAAAATATACTGTTATTTGCCAGATACGTGCATGTTTTAACACAAATGTAAGCCACTGAAAATGCCCAACTCTGGCCCCCTTACAGTTTGCTAGGAAAACCTGTAAGTTTAAGAGGGCACCAGAGCATTTCTATTGCCTCTTCCTGCCGACAATTTTCTGCATGGCTGAGTCATAACTAACATTACATCATCTTACCCAGGGAGGGGCACAGTTTCCATAGAGTAAGAACTACCTCTTACAACTACTAGATCATATTAAACTTTTAGAAATCAGAGCCATCTAGGACCTAAACAGCGCATTTTGGGAGAGGGGGTAGGGTGGGGGGCTCCAAACCAAACCTGTATCTAGTTCAGTCACAAATAAATATGTTAACTTTTTACAACTACTACCTTTATGTACAATAAGGTTTCAGCATATGTCTAAATACACTAGCACTAACTATGCTTTAAAAAATATTTTACGTATTTTAGGGAAAGTCAGATATTTGTTAAATCTTGTCTTTCAGAAACGGCATAAGAGATCGCATTTACTGAAAGACTAGAAGGAGTCTGAGAGGGCCAGCACCATCTATGCTGCAACTTTAAGCAAAAACGGATCAACAGTTTCATTATTTCTCACCAGCACATCATTGCAGATGTCTCTTAGCTCAGTCTCAATTTTCTCTCTGTATTCTCGAGCCATCTGCTGTTTTTTCTCAGCGCCTTCCGTCTTTTGCTCGATACTTGAGACGACTCTCCAAGATGACCTACGGGCTCCTACAACATTTTTATAAGCAACAGAGAGAAGATTCCTCTCTTCGTTGGACAACTCAGCTCCTTGCTCAGTCACAGACTTCATGCAACTTGCCATGTCATCATATCTTTCAGCTTGCTCAGCCAGTTTGGCCTTCTGCACCAGCTCATTTTTATCCATGCTGATCTTTCTACAGAGGAAAAACAGGGAGGTATTATTCAGACATTTATCAAGGACAAAGATGTTTTAATGTCATATGCAGAGCAACCGTTTTCCAAGAAGTCTGAAATTGTGAAATGTACAACCAAAATCTAGAACACAAAGCAGGCAAGCTCCAATGCTCAAATACATGAGCTGAAGACTTCAAGTCACTGCCTCCTTCTAAGGAAACCTTAGAAGGTTTCCGTTAACTTTTAAAGGAATATTATTTTAAATGTTTACAAATATAAGCATCCAAATGTGAACTGAAAGCAGATCACTCCTATCTCAAGCATACGCACAATCCCAGTCCTTTGCCATCACTCAGTTTTCTCATATGAGTGCAGTAAAGATGCAGCATCAGCTGCATCTAATTATCAAGGTAATAAGATTGACAACATAGGAACAGACAAAATACAGGCTAGTCAAACAGTATGAGACAACTCTGTGCCTTAACAGGACCTTATATTTATGTGCAGAAAGACTAGCCATAGGGATCTGCAAATCAAACCCAACACTGGAGGCTGAGAAGTCAGAGCTCCCTAAATATTCAAGCAGTTTCAAGGAGTACACCCTTTGACAACGTTAGCTTCCTTTCCCAAAACGGTAATAGGTTAAATCCTCTCACCTAGGCAGTGCTCCTCAGCCTGAGAGGTTAGGTATGCTTTCACAGACCCAAGGAGACTTCACTATTTAAAATATTACTTGAACATCAGCTTTTGAGACAGCATGAGCTGGCTGAGATACTTTATAGCCTGTATCACATCCAGACTCTTTAAACCAAGCTCTGCCAAACGAAGATAACCGACATATTTTTTTGTACCTCAAGACATGATAATCCTACCTCACCCCCCAAGTTTTCATGTATCTTGATCCAGTCATTTTTCAGGTCCTTACTATGTGCTTTGAAATACACCCTCCTTTAAGGTTTTATTATTAAGACGAGAACCAATTCTGGTGATATATGCTACATTATTTCTATACATTCCAACTAGCAACCTCACACATAATAATTCAGTAGCTTAACTTTGGTCATTTTACATAAAGTTACCACAAGCACTAACTGCAGTACCTCCTATTTAAGGACAAACAAAGCACATTTTAACATCCTAGACACCTGAAAGGAGAAAGTTTTAGCAGCTGCTCTCCCCAACGCTGGCACACAGCAATTCAGTGGCTGTTCCACAGTGTTTGCTAACATGTGCCGAAGTCCTGACCACACTATAAGTAGTGGGTTAAGGAGCCATTTTAAAGAAAGGTTTTGGCTACGGTTGTTTCACCACCCGGTGCGACTAAGGCAAACGTGGTTTGAATGTTTGTCTGAACGCCAGTTTATCTGGCCACCGGGCTACCCATTGCCCGCAGACGGGTACGGCAGTATCCCTTCCGGGCAGCCAAGCGGCCCTTGGTTCTGATGGGTGAAGACGACCGCTCTGAAGCGCGGCGAGGACCGGAGGATGCCGCTCGGCACGCTGGATGACAGCATAAAATGGTGCTGCGGGCAGCCGGGCGGGCGGCCCCCCGCGCGGAGGCACGCTCGGGGACAGCCCCGCCCCGCGCCGCATCCGCCCGCCGCGGAGACACCGAGCGCCTCGCTGCCGCCTTTGTCATGGCGG